CTACCCGCAGCGAGCCTTGTGCTAAACCTTTGTAGACAGGAGACCAGTTCGTACTAAAGTGTCAAGAGAGTTATTCTGCCGTGGAGAAAGGTCAGGGCTGAATTCAACATGGTATAACCAGCGTCCGGCCTGTGCTGTCTCCATTACCAGCCGCAGAGTATGGATATAACGTCTTGAATTCGGATAATGTATTGGCATCTATTGACTCCTGTTTGTTTATGGTCTCGGTGTTGTTTTTATCCTACTCTTGTTGTCATGGTGATTTTATCAAGTTTCCATCATACGAAAGTACTTCTCGGACATTCTTTTGATGACCATGTAAATTCTAAGAGAAACATTATTACCCATGTATATACTACTGAAACCACATCATAAATGAAACTGAACTACCTAGCCTTTCTAGCTAACTTAACTAGTGAGTGTGTATCAATGCCTTTATTTTCCTGTAAATAGCCGTAGTTTTCGCAGGGTCCAAAAGGAAAGGTTTAATGCAATTCTTATTGTATGTGTGATTTTAACAACCGACCCTACTGACTGTCGTTTTCATTTCATAGAAACCATAAACAAGTCTGTTTTATTGAGAATGTGTATACCATGTTCATCTGTGTTAACGTTGCAAGCAAGGATAAAATTTCACTGCATAGAATACAAGCATTATTACTGTGGTAACTAAATCATTGAATGTTGCGCTTTTGTGGTGTTTATTTCGAGTTCCATAGTTTATGAGATAATTTTTCAAACTGGAAATAATGCATTTAACATCACGTCGCCATTCATTCTAAACTCCAGCGATGTGACCAGTGTATCTAGAAAAATGAATAGATACATATTTCGTATTCAAGTGTCCCTAGCACATGCGCTCATCTTCAAACCTACGTATAGGTGGGTTCAGCGTTTACGGAGACAGACTAAGCTATGTAATTCCACATTTCCTGTTCTGGTTCATGTCCTGCCAGGATGGAGGTGTGCTGGTGCCCCTGTTACAAAATGACTAGCCCACGCGACATTTTAAATAACTGTTGTTGTTTACGAAATAGAAGTTGGATTCGGAAATCACTGAGGGTTTACATAAGGCAGATGTTGTACATATTCATTTCTAAGGTCTTTCATAAGTTATTCTAGACTATTTGTCAAAGGCCGGTCTTTATGCTCAGCCACGTGAATAGGATATTATTTTATTTATATTCGTATGTATTTAGTTGAATTTGAAATAGTTTATTGAACTTATTCATGAATCTATTTATTGGATAATGTTATCTGTTTTGTTTTCTTTTAAAACTTTACTATGGTTCCTAATTCCTAGGAAGATATTGATGTAATGCATGTCCAAGGAGGGCTCTAGTTGGTGGACAATTAGGACTGAACAACATGAGCGATAACTCCGAAAGTTTACTTTTGAAACTATAACATACGGCGTATATATTCTGAATGATATGGCACAAAATTAGAAATATTTCATACCAGCACATTCATAACATCGTGATATATTCATATTTTCGTCTTATTTTAGATAAATAATGCCAAAATATAAAAAAGATGAGCAAAAATATTTTTGAAAACAGAAAACTCATCGTCAGATGCCAAAAGTTGTCAATTTCATACAGATAACATAGTTTCAGTGAAAACGCCACACATGGTATTGCAATCAATCAAATTAGATACGCGGGTAATAACCGGACTTTGATGATTTTTCTGATGGGGGCTGTGCTGTCTCGCTTACCGGCCCTTATCCAGTATATCTCATGAAGTTCTGGTCGTGCTTATCACGTGATTTATCATCGAGAGGTTGTATGCTTCTTCAATCTGTGTAAATAACATGTTCTTTTCTTGAGTGTCATTAGATTTCATTCTTTCAAGTTGTCAGCGACATGGCATAGCTTGTGCATTTTCAGCCATAAATTATTTTGTCCAGGATATTTTGTCAGCCGGGGTTGAAATTTCCTACACACCGGTACATTACAACGATGACGAATCACGTGACCTGCCATAATGGTCACGAGCCAATTAGAATCGCCAGCTAGATCTGTTAACGTTTCATTTTCATGCCATTGCAAAACTGTTCTAACTATTGCACAGTATGTAGCCATGCAAGGAGAATATGTAACGATTTGTAATAAAATTGTAAATTGTCTCCCTTGTTCAGTGTTTATTCCAGTTTCCACGATATGTTGACTTGAGCTTTTGTGTTACCAATTTTTAACCGAACCCTTTACTTTCAAAGGTCGGAGCATTATAATAATTTGCCTTTGATGCACCTTGAACTGTCGGTAGAAATCCAGTATGCAGTAGACAGTGCCACAAGTTTCAGCATAGGTAAAGTACATCTTCAGACAACAAAACATTAGATGATAAACAAATTAACCTGCCACTGCTCTGTGTTAGAGACACGCTACTACATGCATGGTCACGCTAGGGCTTTACAATGTCAGTCCTTGAGAAATAAAAGTGGCACCATGTTTGTTTAATTATGAGTCCCCCTGTAGGTCGCTAATCTACCGTGAACAGACGAATAACATGTTCGGTTAGCTAACGCTTCACTTGTGTGGTATACATCACACACACATCGGTGACGTTATGCACACGTGTGGAAAGTTCAGCTGAACGACACCACTTGGAGCACTTCTATGTCTAGACTTCAAGTACACCACCCACTGTGCAGTCTCTGATAAGCCAGTCAGCTAATCTACCAAATCTGCATGTTGAAGTTGGTATGGAAAGGTCTGTGATTATTATTAATATCTTTCAGGTGAAAAACGTATATCCTTCGATAGTCTCAGACACTTGAGAGTTACAATACATAAATAAAAACCCTAGTATCAAAAGTCCGCATCCATCAAATATCCAAGTTTCATTCACTTCCCGCACCTGGGTTGTTTGCCTCAATATATTTCTCTTCTGTAGGTAAGTTCAGTTTCTTGACGCCACGTTTTCCATTTATGCTGACGATTTCAGAAGTGAAAGTCAATATCATGTGGCGGTTTCAAGTTGACTGCTTGATACAGCGACTGGCAAAGCGTGTTCGCTCCCTTTTTGTTTACTTTTGCCGGTTTTATCCATTTTCCCGTAGGCAACAACACATCTTCATTGAAAAACGTGAAGCACATCAGTCATTATGACACTCTGATACCATGTTTAATTGAGGCTCTCCGTAGGTCGCTACTAGACCGTGAACATACTGTTAGTTATGCCACGTACGTATCCTAAGTATAGTCAGTATAGACGATATGGCGTAACAAGGTCACAGACTGACCATATGGGATCGAACATAAGCCTTATTGTATGTAGAGGCTTTATTACCGGACACTGGAAGTTGGCACGTGGCATGTCGCTTGGAGCGTCAATCGGCATTCCTTAGTTACAAATGACGGTCACTAAGGACGAACAGATCAAGCTGTGACGCTTGATTATCTAATTGTACCTTCATTGTGTGACGTCAGTGCGCCAACTGTGCTTGGCGATATGGTTTTACTTTAATGATTTAACTTTTAACTTTATATTCCTTTATACTAATACGTTAAGGGAATTCTGTATACACTTTGTCAATATATACACATAAACAGTCGCTGTATGACAATACGAACAACTAACGTTCGGTAAGCTACAGCCTGACTCCCGGTGCCGCATGGTAAACATACACACACAGGTGACGTAATGTACTGCCAGTACAACAAAAGTTACACAGACGAGTTTGTGACAGTACGATCAGTGCAAAAGGTGACACTTTCATTCGGAGCCACATTTGCTGACATCGACGTCCATCATAGTGTGAAGACCCCTAAATCAGCAGTCTATAGAAACATTGAAACAAAACACAAGGCCTCCAGACTGAAGTCTACGTCCATCATAGTGTGAAGACCCCTAAATCAGTAGTCTATAGAAACATTGAAACAAAACACAAGGCCTCCAGAATGAAGTGTACGTCTATCGTTGTGTGAAGGCCCCGGAATCAGCAGTCTATAGAAGCAGTGAAACAAAACACTTGGCCTCCAGTGTCGAAGATCAGTTGGACCAGGTGGAAACTGTTTGGGTGTTTAAACCAATGAGTGGTTTATAGCGCCATATAAGAGAGGGGCCATCAGCGTAACGAATCGTAAACAGCAGATTTCGGTCGACTGCGGGATTTTCAAAGGATGCGTACCGTCAGCTAGGCGTCGACAGATATCTTCAAAATCTTTTAATGTTTTTTAATCTAAGTGCTCTAGTGATCTGATGTACTTCGGGAGGTAAGACCCGTTTTGTTACAATATAGGTCTTCATCATCGACCTGATCGTCTTGTCAGGGCGCCGCTATTTTGTTTGAAGCAAATGCAAGTGATATGAGAGGCTGAATCTGATTGGCCAATATGAGGGACATAGAAGGAACATCACTCGTAATAGCCATTGGTGGCGCTTCGATCGAGCCCTAAAATTCCAGCCCAGTTCGGCAAGGGTGGACACTGGAGTCAGTTAACTCGCTTGCGTCGGGAAGGTGGAAAGGGGACAATCGCAGATGTTCTCAGTTCAGTTGGATTCGGATGATATTCTTTGAAAGAAACGTCTGTCGATTCGCGCTCTTAAACAAGTTGACTAGAATGTGAGAAACATGTCATGTTTCATTAAACACCCTCGTGTCCTTAGTATTTAGTGAGTGGCGGATTAACGCCAGGGTTTCACGCCAGTTTTAACAATATTCCAGCCATCACAGTGGGAAATCAAATAAGTGCCTCCGGCCTTGCGAGGAAACACTTTTACCACTGGACTACCCCACCTCGCTGTCTTTGATAAATGGTTGCAGACAAAATCAGCTGGGTTTTTTCAAAACGACCGTTGGTGAAAGGGCGATCTAACATAGTTGGCAAGTTATTTCACAGTTGCAAAAATGTATATGCCGACAGCTTTATTAGGGAAGGGGGGCAACTCTATCTAACACATGGCATATAACACAGTGTTGCAGATACTTATAGAGTCTGCAGTGTTTATGTGTCAAATGTGTTTTAACAGTAAGAACACGATGCTAGATATGAAGTTGGCATTAAACCTATATCTTTATTAATATTAATTAGTTGACTTCAAACGGAAACGTCGTATACTGAAATATTCACAAAACGTCACAAAACGTCGCACGCGGGCTAGGTTCATTGATCAATTTGTATATCCAAGTCTCTTGATTTTTTTTCATTTTGAAATCATTATTGTTTTACAATAACTGGCAGCGATATTTGCACACCACCGTGAAATAGCTGGACGATTGCTGAGGGTGGCGTTAACAAGTTGACAAAGGAAACAGAAGCAAGTTTCGAATTATTATAAGTGTAGTTAGGATCAGAAATCAATTTGACAAAACACCCAGTCTGAGCAACTCATTGTGTAAAGACAAATGCATGGCACGTTCTAATTTGAAGCAGGCTATAGTCTGTACATGGATACATGAATTGCGATGAAGAGGTGTTGCAGGTGCCTGGTGTTTATCGTGTAAACAATGGCCCGATGTTTATCATGTAGACAATAGCCTGGTACTTATCATTTAGACAAATGGCCTGGTGTGTATCATGTAAACAAATGGTCCGATGTTTATCATGTAAACAAATGGCCCGGAGTGTATCATGTAAACAAATGGCCCGGGGTGTATCATGTTGGCAAATGTCCTGGTGATCATCATTCTAAAATCTGCTTTTCCCTTCTTCATAGCCACCATTGATCAATCCACCACCCTTCTTGTTGGAACCCACAGAAACATTCTCCAGCGTCGCTAGCGGACTTCCAAATCCTGGGCTGTATCTTCCATGTTTGTTTTCATCCAGCCTCGGCCCCCATTCATCAAGTGGTTTGTTGAGATTCCACCATAACTACAAGCAATATGTCAAGATAAAGAGTGAAATTACATGAAACATAAGATAAGATGCGATAAGTTTAGATAATGCTTTATTATCCCATGATCATTTGGTTTACAGCGTACGAGATATCAGCTAAACAACAATATACAGCAGCAATACACGGAATTACAGCAGTAAAGGGAACAATAGCACACACAGATACATACACGCAATCACGCGCACACACTTTCACTCACGCACACACTCATACAAACTCAAGAATGAATGAATGAATGAATGAATGAATGAATGAATGAATGAATATCAAATTATATATGTCGCCAGACAGAAGAATATATATCTATCACACAGAGATTAAAAAGACTGGCGAAGTGAAGTTAAGTTACCGAAGTATAACGGGACTATAAACCTGTACTTTTCTAAAACTGATTGTATAAACGCATGCTGACTGGTATGAATGACTGGCGAGTCCTGTTTGTTTTCATTATCGGCAGTGGCATGCAGCTTCCGGAAGGGAGAAATTCATATTGTGAAAATGAAACGTGTATTGTCAGGAAGAGAATTTATGGATGTCAACTTCTTTTTTATTAGGTACACGACGTTTCAGAGTATATACTTACTCCTTCATCAGGTGAATTAATAGAATATATATATATATATATATATATATATATATATATATATATATATATATATATATATATATATATATATATATCTCTGTTTTGACAAAGAATTTGTTGTTCTTACAGTTCTTCCTCTCGATGGGTTTGTATAAAGAATAAACTGAACACGAATACGACGAATTTAGTTGCATGCCGACAAAATGTTCCGGATCCACCGCAGGCAGTATTTAGTAAACAAATATTGAAAACTGTAAACATCGCTTGGCTCATTCAATGACATTGCATGTAGAAAATATAGATCACTGACAGCTCATGCAAACCCGATAACCCGACATGCAACCCTGTTTATATATGGTGCAATATTATTTCAAAACATTACAAGAAAACTTCTGATGCATTGCATGAACGCGGGGAATTTGTAAACTCTTTACAATAACCTTTGGTATTCCGCTGTGAACGACGAAATACTGAGAATGGTGGAATGAGATATACATGCGGTTTTATCTTGTTGTGAATTAGGAAGGGAAATGGCGAAATAATATAATTATCCAGAATCATATGTGGTTACCTCCCGTACTGAGTTCATAAACACCGCTTGAACCCCGTGGAATAAATGCGGTAGATTATTCAGGGTCCCCCCTTTCATCATGGTGACATATGTTTTCAAACACATTTTATGAATTTAGGGAGTTCGTTAAAAATAAAACTGAAGAATTAACAGCATCATGAAAATGTGTTAAACACGTATACATAAAAGGAAATTAGAAACTCATAAATGTCCTATGCAATTTCCCATAAACCCTTAACAGAGCTATTACAAATAGAACCACACAAAAATAACTGCTCCCTACAATTCGCCAGTGCACAATCTCAGAAGAACCACTATAGACCGGCGCCTTAAGCTTCTGCCGCCGATCAATGACGTATTTGAAAAGTTAGTGGTACTGAATTCTAACGGTAAGTCTAGAGCCTCAAAGACGTCAACAATTATACGCTGATGTGACGTCACTAAACATTACACTACATCAACAATGCTGTACAGCACGTTCAGTCATTCTGTTACTTACACTATTCTATTCATGCTCTTTTGGTTGAAATGACATTAACGGGGCACGGCTGGAAGTCTTGTGTGCAGGGTTGCGTCCCTTTGGCGTGCCAGACACACAGATTCCCACTGATTGTGTTTCTAGGTTTGTCAGCAGCCTACCGTGTTCGTGGGTGCTACCAAAGTGACAAACGTCTCATAAAACAGCATCAACTGACACACCCTAATAAAACTGCATCACCAGACACACCCTAATAAAACTGCATCACCAGACACACCCTAATAAAACTGCAAAACCAGACACACCCTAATAAAACTGCAAAACCAGACACACCCTAATAAAACTGCATCACCAGACACACCCTAATACAAATGCACCACCTGACACACCCTAATAAATGTGCTTCACCAGACACACCCTAATAAAACTGCATCACCAGACACACCCTAATAAAACTGCATCACCAGACACACCCTAATAAAACTGCATCACCAGACACACCCTAATAAAACTGCATCACCAGACACACCCTAATACAAATGCACCACCTGACACACCCTAATAAATGTGCTTCACCAGACACACCCTAATAAAACTGCATCACCAGACACACCCTAATAAAACTGCATCACCAGACACACCCTTATAAAACTGCATCACCAGACACACCCTAATAAAACTGCATCACCAGACACACCCTAATAAAACTGCATCACCAGACACACCCTAATAAAACTGCACCACCTGACACACCCTAATAAAACTGCATCACCAGACACACCCTAATAAAACTGCATCACCAGACACACCCTAATAAAACTGCATCACCAGACACACCCTAATAAAACTGCATCACCAGACACACCCTAATAAAACTGCATCACCAGACACACCCTAATAAAACTGCATCACCTGACACACCCTAATAAAATAGCAGCGGCGTTAAGTCAAACCAGCAATGAAATAAAACTTACCTCGAATCCTCCCTTGAAGCAGAAATAGCCACAATACCATGCGGGTATAGAGATGAGGATAGCCGCCACTATCAGCCACCCCAGGGCTTCGGACCACTCTGGATAGCCCGGCCCTGTAATAGGGGTGTACTGCATGCTCTTGAAGACTAGGACGGTCTGGAAGTATGCATTCATGTGTAGAATGAATACCTACAGGTGATTTGTGGCATAATGGTGGTTTTGGTATTTTTTCTCACAGCCATCGGACGATGAATGAAACACTCGCTGATGCAATCTGACCATTGCCCAGTGTCAATGTTTCATTAGCTTTGATCACATAGCATTACCACATATAATAATTATATTTATAACTTTCTAATGGAATAATAATATAACATAAATCGCCAATAACCAATGCATCAACTAACCACCCTCAGCCTATTGGGCCCGGGTTTAAACAGGCCCACATCATCCAAGAGGTGACAAGCTTGGACCGGGTGATCAGGCTCTAGCTGTGACTTGCGTGACATTGTGTCACAATGGTGTGGGGTTTTGCTCATGATTACAGTCACTGGTTGTCCGTCTCCAGCCTTGTCTATTGCCAGACTACCGTGATACTACTTGAGTATTACTGTGGCGTTACACAACATTCCTTTCGTCACGTCTTCACGGAACCGTGAAGATTCGGGTCTTCAGCAACCAATGCAGTCGTAAGAGGCGACTAACGGGATCGGGTGGTCAGACTCGCTGACTTAATTCATACATGTCATCGTATCCCAAATTCGTGGATCGATGCTCATGTTGTCAGTCACTGGATTTTTTTGTCCAGGATCTATTATTTACAGGCATCATATACTTGGAATATTGCTGTGTGTGGCGTTCAACAACAAACAAACAAACACTCCTTCACGCTTACCACCAGCAACACTGGGGAGAGGAAACACCAGCACAACAGGAAGTAGTAGTACACAATGGTTGCCACTATGTTCATCCGGGTCCCAATCATCATCCGAACATCGTCTTTGAATCGACGGATACCTGAATACATTCGGCAAAAAATGAAGTCTTGTGTAGGAAATTATTGATTATTTTAACTGTTAACCTTTTTTACAAGTTCGCTCGCCTACGGATTTATGCGATATTGCCAAGTGTAGAAAAGTGAAGTTAGATTATTAGATTACGTTTTAAGAACAAATTATACAATGCGCTTAGCCTATAATGAGTTGTCCACCGGTACTCGAGCCCTCCAAGCCCCCATGGGAACATAACTATCATAACTATCATAACTATCACAGAGGCTACATTATAAGTTGTGGCAGTATCACGAGGGGGACATGTGTTTTTTTTGCCTCCCGCGTTAGGTTTTATACCACGGGCCGGAGGCTTCAACGAATTTATCTTACCGACATGTTTTAATATGACTTTGTAGAAGAATTCAAACAATTTCAAATTGATAGAAAACAGCTGTTCGACTTAGCTGCGGCTTCTTGCTTCAAAGCGGGGTATAAAGAATTTTCTCTTCCTCTCAGAAAATCCACGTGAAGCTTCTCTTGTTCGTGGCGGGGTATAGGAGATTTATTCTCTCGCTGAGAAATTTATGTCCCTCCAAGGCGGGATACATAGTATTTTATCAAGATCACGTGAACCAATCAGATCTCATCATCAGACATGGAGGGGCGGTCGGGTAGCCTAGTGATTCGCTCGTCACGCCAAAGACCCGGTTCGATTCCCGACATGGGTACAATGTGTGAAGCCCATTTCTGGTGTCCCCCGCCGTGATATTGCTGGAATATTGCTAAAAGCGGCGTAAAACCACACTCATTCACTCATTCTGACATGGAGGTATGTTATCAACAATGCCACACGAGGCAGCGGTCACCACGAATATATCTCCCCGCAGTTAGCCATTTCTAGCAGACGACAGAAAACAAACACTAAACGTTAGTCCCTTGGATCTATTTCGGAACACATCGTAAGTATCAATAGAGTGGCGCCTTGCATCATCAAATTGCAGTTGATGTGTTGCAAATGTAATACGACAATTCGGCAATTCGAGAGGGAATCATCAGAAATTAATGTTAGCTGGGCCAATTGAAAATAATACAATGGGCCTGAACCAGTTAGAATTTGACATTCATGTGTAAGGTAAGATAAATATTCATAACAATGCATGTCTGATACAAGCATGTTCAAGTGCAAGCAATGCATATCTTGTTTACAGTGATTTTGTGTGGACTTTAATTCGAGAGTGTGAGTTTAAAGTTTTTTCGAGACTGAGATAAGCAGTCAGGCGATTACCCCCACAAGAAAACATTAGTTAACCCGACACTCCAAGATGAACGCCATTGTCCAAAGTCAGTTGTTGATCATGAGATAGTGTCAATCCAAAAAACAAGGTCCCGTGAAGGAGACATTAACGGTAACTTATACTCCCGCTTCACCCCGATAATATTTCTATGTTTATCAGCACAATACCTGTGCTCGTGGGTTTCACGTCAGTTGAAAGCGTCTGAGAATTGCATCACTTCGGGCTTTCCTCCCACATTAAGCTGACACGCCGTTATATAACAATTACGCGGTAGGTAATGTTATTAATTACTATACTGATATATATAGTATAGTTAATACATCATTAATTTGTATTGTTCATATTTTACCAGAATGGCAGGTCATATAAAAAAAAGCATCAAAACCCTTTCCATGTTAATCATGACATCGTAGGATTACATCAAAGGCATGTGTTTATGAATCACTATTAAATAGTGATGATAATAGGTGTTCGCAAACTGGTGAGCGTATTCTGTCCCACCTGTGGCACCCGTCACGAACACATACAAAGGCAAGTCAATTGTTCACCTGCAAAAACACAGGAACGTGTGCACGTGGTACAAGTCAAAATAAGGAGTTGCATCGGACATCATTTTTGTCACGGTGGCGTCAAATCTGGAAATATCCGTCAGTAAGGCTTTGAATGTTGTAACCCTGATCAAACAATTTTTTAGCAAGAGTTAATGATGGACTGTGGACTGTGGAAAAAGCTTACTCGATTGTACCCCAAAAGTTATGAAGTTTAGGCACCAAAGGCTGGAGCTGCTCGATTATTGCTCGATATAAAGGGAAAGTTGGGAAAGGGAAAGTTCCCCTCCTATCATACAGTCTTGATGGATAGTCTTTCGTCACTCTGAATCTGTATGCTTAGATCTAAGTATGAAACACATGAGACAGTTTCCCATGTCTCTTTTAGTTTTTTATTGTGGGTAAATAAGTGGAAAGGAATTGCCATTTGACAATTATTGAACGGTATCAGATTATCGATATACCTGAAGCTTAAGTAAAATGTCTTGGCCAAATTCCCTTTTTTATTTTGCCCGTCTGAGGAGAAATCCTGACTCGCATGCATAAATATAAAATCAGCAATGTGGGCAGCAAAATTTATGCCCATGAAATAAATTTTATTTGCCTACTGATCTAGAGTAGTATCCTTTACAAAATGTGCACGACACGCAATCTCACTCTATTATTAAACTTCACGTTTAGTTTCTGCAGTTGCAATATATAACTGCATACACATCAGCATGGGCTTTTGTCAGAGCCGTCGCAATTCGTTGTGCAGACAGGCGTTCCAGAAACCTAATGTCGTCAGTTCGAATACAAAATTAGCCCTGGTTATGTCTCAAGGTTTGTCTGCACTCACTCACTCACTCACTCACTCACTCACTCACCCACCCACCCACCCACCCACCCACCCACTCACTCATATATACTAAAAGAATAATTCTATTAAAACTAATGGTTTCGATTATGTTTATTATGTAGCAGTAATGTAAACTATACAACCTACCGTATACAAATATGACGGCCACAAGCTCAACAAGGCCAATGATAAGAAGTGGGAATCCGCCTACAAATGTGTCCATCAGGTTTAGGATATAGCTTCCACCCTTCCAGACAAAGAAGAAAGGAACAGTTGCAGCATATGGACGAACAGTGTCCTATGACAAGATGCAGTTGACACGCAGACTGCTTCTGTCGTTCTGCATAGTGTGTCGAATGAGAATCCGAATTATACAATCAAATACGTGTAATCCTATGCAAGACGCATAAACTGCAAAATATGTTTATGTGTTTAGGGCATTGCCAGCATTCAATTATCATTATGCCTGATCCAAACCTTTGCAAACATGAATATTACGAAGATCAGTCCATCATAACATTATGCTGATATCCTTAAGTTGAAAGGTGATCATCACATTTAACAATAGTAGCAATGTTGTTATAGCTATTATTATGATCATATAAAAACATACCTGCGTTACTTGAGGAAGGCCGAGAAGAAAGCCGAGCAAACATACACCAATTCGAAACAGATAATTATTTCTGCCCTGTGCCAATTGAGGGAACACATCGATGACGGATGTCAGTACGGACTCTACTCCAGATATCTGTCAAGGAATAAGAATACATTTGATTGTGACCCCTTAAGTACTAGTATGTTCATAAGTGATTACACGAATGGCTACATACACATCACGGTAGGTCCGCGGTTCAAACAGCAGCGTTATTAAGTTGTTTTACTTACAAAAACTATTTATTTGAGTCATCATCAGTCAACACAATTCTAACAGAGATCGATGCTAACCGCTTTTACTGTCATGTTCGCTCACAATAGAAGGAACACTTTATTAATGCGATTTTCATTATCAGCTTCCTGGGGATCATACATCCCAAGCAGGCTTGTTAGGCGGTAGCAGATTAACAGTCAGATTTCAATCACATCCCATCGGGTACCCATTTTTGCTGCTGAGTGAACAGAGGCACATCTAGAACAAAGTCACTTCCCTAAGGAGACACCTAATGTGCTTCATGTGCTTCATGTGCTTCAGTGTCGGGCAGGACCAAAGCCCAAGAAACTCTCGGATGCAAAGCAGCCGAACACGGTGGTCGACGTTTGGTAAACTTCACCTGGTTTGTGACGTGCCATGCGCCACCATGTATACTCGTTTTCGAAACTTGGTGACATAAAGAAAACTATAACTTTGGTACAAATGGTATCTGACGAGAATTTGTGAACAGTACTTTGTATTCTCTATTTACGTACCATTGAGCTCCATCCTAGGGTGATCAGCATGATGAAGAAGAGGATGGACCACAGAGGTGGAATCGGCATCCTAGACAGAGCTTCGGGATACACAACAAACACCAGACCGGGTCCTGAAACACGTTCTTCGGATTTATATTTATTTGATCTCCCAATGAGAACTATATATGCATGACAGGGAGAGGCCTATGATCATGAATGTCACTAAGGATTTGATCAATTATCTTACGATTTCTCTCTGCGACTGTGCATTTTATATTAAACTATATTTCACTAGCTATTCTTATCCTTAGTGTTTCTGTTTTATCGACTAACTATATCATGTGTAATATCGCAAACCTTGTGCTGTCACCTCCTCCACCTCCACACCTTTCGTATGCGCCATAAAACCGAGCACAGAGAATATTGCGAATCCGGCAAAGAAACTTGTAAGGCAGTTGATTAGGGGTATCAAAATTGAATCTCTGAAAAACACATCCGTTAAAATATACTACGTAAGGGATAAATCATGATAACGTAAGGGATAAATCTTCGGACTCTGGAATTAGAATCATTTTGCCCCTTCAGGGTTCGTTGAGTTACTTAAACCATGTTATGGTTGATATATATTTTAATCTCTAACTTTGCACAATGACCTATATTTGAGTCAGTTTTACTTGTTTTAAAATGCATGTTCAGAACTGCGACTTAATTCTAATAAAAACACTCACTCACGAAACATCGGTATCCAGGATAGTGTACCATACATGTACATAATGAAGTGTTTCTAGCACAGGTGTAACTCTGTGTAACTTGCCCGAGGCTGTTCTTACAGAGTTTATTGTACCTTGCCTGAGGGTGTTATTATTGAATTTCCTGTGACTTGCCTCAATGTGTTATTACTGAGTTTGTTGTGACTTGCCTGAGGGTGTTATTATTGAATTTCCTGTGACTTGCCTCAATGTGTTATTACTGAGTTTGTTGTGACTTGCCTGAGGGTGTTATTATTGAATTTGTTGTAACTTGCCATTGCTATCAGAGCTCCAGAGCAGGTACTCGTTGAGAAAAAAATCTGCACAGCTGCATCGCCCCACACCTTCAGCATGGGATGAAAACAAATATATCAAGAAATGATTGGCCTCCCTTTCGTATAGTATTGTTTGTTGTTTAACGCCGCTCTCAGCACCATTCCAGCTATATGACGGCGGTCTGTTAATAATCGAGTCTGGACCAGACAATCCAGTGATTAACATCGCGAGCATCGATCCACGCAATTGGGATACGATAGCACCTACAGACCACAGCACCAGAATTCCAGAACGCGTCTGCTATAAGGATGACATGTGCTACATATTTTTGTAATAACTGTGTTGTACAAAGCTCTATTTTGATTACAATCTTTTTTTAGATTTTGTAAATTTTCCCGAATTTGTGTATGATAAATTTCGCATCAAACTTCAACGGTATAAAGAGGAACGGTCCACCCCGTGTTGACGACGGTATGTAAGAGCGGGTACCTACTCCTTTCAGCTAAGTTGGATTGGGTAGTCAGCATCAGTTACCCCAACGTCGTGGGACGTTGCTCATATAGACCAGACCGTGTTGTAACAGGACATTGCCGATTGCTCTTTTAAACAACATTCACTCACTCACTCACTTACTCACCCCTTCTGTATACAGCTGGCAGGCATATCATTGGGCAGTAAGTCAACCATAAAGATTTGTTTTTATTTCATGTGGTATAATAGATGGGTACCTACATGGTTTATTTTAAAGGTAATTTACAATTATGTTTCAATGTAATATAAGCTGTGTTTGGTCGGGATCGGGTGGACCTGTGGTGCTGCAACTCGCATACCAGTGCCCTGTTGTTCACGTGATGCACGACAAGCAACACGTTATGGGTATCCTATATTTACTACTGTTCCATGGGTTTCATCTGAGTGTTAAATGGCATTAGCCAGCATGACCTTTGTCCTCCCACAATGTCTTGTATGTAATAACTGAAGTAATATGGCCTAATGGCAACTCACGCAGTCAAGAAAAGCGGACCACACATCAAGACCGCGATAAGAAGTATCAATGTCAATTACTGACTGATGCCAAGTATTACCATAGTGTAAACAAATTATACTGCTTTGTCAAACTTACAGATGCAGATGTGAGTTGTTCTGGTTTAGGGGTGATGTAGTACTTGACGCCATCCAGATATCCATCCAGAGTCAGGCCCCGAACAAGCATTACAGTCAGTAGAATGTAGGGTAGGACAGTGAAGACATATATAACCTGAAGCGAAACATTTCACATATCCTTCAGCTTCAAAACAAACAGCTAACCATCTTAATAACATATTCCTAATGGTCATTTCCATTGACACAATGGCTACAATGTCGCATGCCTTGCATTCCTCTTCAAGCTTCTTTCCTGCAGTTAAGGCGGTATGAGTGTGTGGGCCGAAGTTAAGGTGTAAAGTAAGGGTAAAATAGTATGACATTTCAGTTGGTTCATTCGATTCATTTAGAAACGATGTGCCTCTTAAAGGCCAAGGACCAGTGACAGAAGCCTATATAACATGACCGGTTTTTTTTTAGTTTATCCTCAACTGATTTTTTACCATAATCAATTTAATACTTAAACTATAGCTCTCACGCTGTTGTTTCCAGTTTTGAATAAAATTAAGCATAAACGTGTACATTAACGTGTACCTAAACACGGCAGATTTTCGTCTGTGTTGACATGATTAAAGATGTTTCCTATTGTACCTTCCCAAGTGACTTGATTCCCTTGATGGTGATGATGCAGCACACAGTCCATGATAGAAGGTTACACAGGACTAGCTCCCACTTCATCCTACCCACGGAGCCGATACCGTCGGATACTTCCAGTACATGCAAACTGGGAACACCGAGATCAAGTGAGGATGTTTGAATACAACAGAGTAAACATGTGGAGACCCCGTGAAACAAACAGAATACATATGAGCTTCAGGTTAAGTAACATCTGAAGGAGTATAGTTTTCTTAGATTATTAGGCGAAGGCTCCAGGTAAAAATATGCCTATTAAGCAGTTAGATTCGCTAGACATGTGCATTATAAAGAACAACTTACTGTTACCAGTCGAATGTACAAATACGCTTTTGTAAGGTTGAATATAAATTGTTTTGGAACATGAATTTTGAATCCAAAAATGACAATATAATTTTATATACATTCACCATCGTTTTTAAGGTGTGAGTATGAGTACCTGTAAACCAACACGTAATGTTATGTTGTGTGAATGCCAGGGTTTCCCGGTCATTACTCACTTGTAATACTCTTCACTGGGTGACCGTGTGGCATTTTGTGGAACAACAATCTGATCAGCTGAAGTACAAAGTAGTGACTTCAAAAAACATGTTGCACGAAAACTTATCACTTAAGGTTGCTATATGGCTGAAGTAATGCCGATGGGACGTTAAAGTTTAACTCTCGCACTTAATGTACCCTTAAGTTCGGGCTTCGTCACTGAGAATATTTGATTTAATAAAGAATGCACCACACTCAAACTGAATTCATTAACTGTAAGAACGGAAATCTGTTCCTGAAATGGTATTCAGCATAAAATTACACAAAGCGCACAATCAGGTAAGATACATGCAGAAACACAGCGTGTATTTGTATATTGACCAAGAGGCGTTACGGTATATTTCTGGTATATTCTGATGATTGTAATGCCATTTGGAATACAATGTGAACACACACTGATCTGTTTGCACGTGATTTAACGGTTGATAAGGTGCAAAGGTGATTTGCGTATATTTCATCATCATTTTATTAGTTCACGCCCCTCGTTGGGATTCTGGATGAAGACTTGTTGTTGCCCTTGGCCCCATTAACTCATGAGTGTCGAAATATCCGAGGTTTGGTTCGTCAGACTCGGTGCGGGCTATTGTTTGTTTGTTTATTGTTTAACGTCACACTCAGCAATATTCCAGCTGTAGGACGGCGGTCTATAAATAATCGAGTCTGGACCAGACAATCCAGTAATTGACATCATCAGCATCGATCCACCCAATTGGGATCGATGACATGCATCAACCAAGTCAGCGAGCCTGACCATCCGATCCCGTTAGTCGCCTCTTACGACAAGCATAGTCGCCATTTACTGCGGGCTGTTGTGGGCTATGGTGCCCGATGATGTGGATCTTTGCTGATCTTTCAGTCACTAGTCGGCTTGTCCAGCCTCTTTACATATATTGCTATAGCTGGAGGTCTGTTGACCTTAAAAACATTTACTCATTAGTCGTTGTCATAATTGCTATGTATCTGCCTCAATACATGCACACTCACTGCAGTTGATGTTGGTGTTGTTCAGGTACGATGTATCGTTGACATTGATGCGACAGAAACAAGTATTCCACTCATGAAGACACGTGCTCCAGGGCAGCTCTGACGTCATCGACGCACACAGGAAGTAAACAAACTGCGCGATGACAACACTGTAGTATATCATGATGAATGATGTCACAGCCACCATTGCAATACCAAGACCTGTTAATGTGAAGAAATAGTTCATGGACGGGATACTTCATAACCTAGAAAAGTGAAATTAAAGCCAAATACATGACAGTTTTACCACATACATATATGGCTGGATTTGATCACGGTGGGCGAGCTGGATTTGATCACGGTGTGCGAGCTGGATTTGATCACGGTGTGCGAGCTGGATTTGATCACGGTGTGCGAGCTGGATTTGATCACGGTGTGCGAGCTGGATTTGATCACGGTGTGCGAGCTTACTGCGGAACGAAGCCGGAAGTAACGCTTATCGTAGATGTGAACTATGTAGCCAGTGATCATCGGACAGTAAATTGTGTCGCTTCAGACAACTGGTCGCCATACTGAAGGACATAGAACTGGTATATTCTGAAGTAAAACGCATTTGATATGATACATGAACGAAAAGATAAACGCTATCAACGATCGCAGGTTATACAAAATTAACTACTCACACAAATTACGCTCCAAATAGAGACTCACCTGTGATACACATTGATACACAATATACTTTTATTCCCATTATTTGTTTTCAAACCTGGTGAAGGAGAGATCATTCCTCTGGAGGTGATTTAGTGTAACGTACAATAAGGGGATATAACTCCGTTTGGGCTAGCCCTCCCATTTTGTGTATGCTACAAGGGGAACTGTTATTTTGAGGGGCATCTGTCATTTGTCAGACAGCTTAAAACAACATCTTTTATGGTTGAGGGCACATCAGGTGTGTGATATATTCCCTTGAATCCGAAAAGACAAGTACTGTCGTCAACAACTGTTTGACAACTGGTACAAAAGAAAAACAAAATTTATACAAATCGGCGTTTATTCTTGATTTATTATTGCTTTATACTTTGGAACATATTGCTCAGTTAAAGGAGTTTTACGTTATATACATGAAGTATAATACATAACATATACATAATATATAATGACCATCAATCGTTATGAATATAGTAATATTTACTTACACATCAAAGTCAATGTACTGTCAGTCATTCAACTTAACAAATAATGGAATTCATCACCTATGTCAGATAAGTTACATAAGTGGTCAATTCCTTTCCTTTCAATAGATAGATTATGGTTACAAGTTCTAAAGACTAAGTAAGACTCGCGAAACGTTTTCCTGCAGTACGTGTAAATAATATTCAAAAATTAGGCAATCATTTTTATGATACTAAACATTGTGCATTTTGAAGACGTATCCCTTGCACTTGTCCAACACGCAGGTTAATGGCATTTAAGTTTTCATGAACTTAAAAATTAGTTCGTCAAAACTTCGTTTGAAATATGTAATCTATTTATGTTTAAATTTTCCTAATAGATCGTCAATAAATAATAACTTGTATACAAGAAAGAATAATTTAGATGATTAACCGGAGAGCAATTTTGTAGTATTCTCATTTAAGCGATGTTTGATAGATGGAGCCTTCCAAGTTCCCCTTATACCATGAAATCTGGGGTACATTTTCTTAACGCAAATGGACACCTTCTAGAGTTGAGATGTTTTCAAACCCCCATACTTCGCATCCGTTGAGAAGAACTGTTATAACCATACTGTCAAAAAGACGCAGTTGACATTCAAGTGATAAATGTAATTTCGACGACCCGGGTTGTAGTCTTAGCACCCTATCACAGACTTCAGTGAATAAAACATATTTACAGTTTATTTAACTAAAAAGTTTGAATCTTCAAAGAGAGTGCCAGTGTCTTGGTCATATCATTACGAGTACAGGGATGTGTGGCGGTTAAAAAATATTCCACTGTCTGACAACTGGATGTCTGGCAAATGGGAGGACCCCCATTTTTTATATTTATGGTAGTTGGCATCGTGCTGATGTTTGCAGTTGTGAAGTCTACAGAATGTGCTTGAATTAGTTCTTAGGCTCTTTTGTATTATGGTATTCAGGTTGGTATCTATGGCTGCAATTGGTAACCTGTGACAACAAAAGTTTAATATTTTATAAACACCAATACATATGGGTGTCATGATCCGAGCAGAAATCCGACCAACCTCTGAAAATAGGACTCAGGCGCCATACTTTGAGCGGTCCGACACTGGCAAACTGTCCCATGTTGATGTCAAGGGCAAACAGAGGAATTCCCAACACAAACAGGCTCAAGAAGTACGGCAGTAGAAATGCACCTGTAAAAGTTCATATACAGTCAATATAAAATAATGTATGTATTGTACGTTGGAACCTTTGTATGTGAATGCCACTGTAATATCAATGTTATTATATGTACATTATAACCTAAATATGTTAACATCAATGTAGTGTGTAAGTGATTTAGGTTTAACGCCCCTTTGAACAGTGATGTCACGGCATATCAGCTCAATGTGGGAGGATGCTGAAATAAAGGAGCATGGGTATAGTACTGACAAATCTAGAAACATAAACGGGAGTAAGCGGGATTTGAACCTACGGTCATAGGTTTGTAGAGTGTCCAAGGGGCGCAACTCTGCCAGCGTATTACGGTGCCTTAGACGACTAGGGCATCCTTGTCCCTTACATCCATGTCATTTCAATATAATGATAATTACAAAATGTCAAACTTCTATTAACCATTTATTTCCCTGGGCCTAGCACTTCCTCAGCCGAAAATATTTCTTTTCCACGAATATTTTCCAGGAATTATATTTCCGGCAAAAACTTATCACAAGAATGATTAATCTGTGCACTTTGAGCATAAATCAATTAGGGATGTATCAACATTAATACATTACCTCCTCCGTCCTTATATGCCAGATACGGAAATCTCCAGACATTGCCAAGACCAACAGCGCATCCTACGCATGTTAGTATGAACTCTACTTGAGATCCCCATGTGGCCCTGTCGGGAGCTTTCTGCAATGAACATAGCCCTGCTTTAAACTTAGAGCTTCTGTTAAAAATCTTGACACATGTCACAAAAATATATGTATGAGTTGTGCAGCTATTGACAAAAAGAACAGTTATGCAGTACTAACACAAAGGATTGACACTCCTTCCAGTGATTACAAGGTCTTCAGTGACAGATGATTGTATTGAGATTGAGATGTATATGATCTGACTTACCGTTGTTCATATACTTGAGACATGAAATTATTCAAATCCTGAATTGTAAGGAAAGGGGTCAGCAGTATAACCTGCAAGGATCCGCTGTTCGTAGGTTCGAGTCGCCATGACGTCATGGCAACCGTTGTGGGTTTCACTACAGAAGTAAAAGCCTGCAACATGAGGCTTTCGATTTCCCAGTATCAGTCCTCGGACTCACGTGTTTTAAAGGCTATGTTTCACTTAAGTCACCCACGGAAAGTATTGAAAATCATATTCACTTCAGACAAGATGTTGGAGTGCTCATACGTCGGTTTTGATAAGATGTTGGAGTTGTCATGTGGCTGACGTGTCAGTTAAGACAAGATGTTAGAGCACTGTGTCGGTGTTGACAAGATGACGGAATGTTCAAATGTCAGTTTCGACAAGATGATGGAGTGCTCAGGTGCCAGTTTATACAAGTTGTCGGAGTGTTCAGATGTTCATTTAGACAAGGTGTCGAGTACACAAGACATGAGATAAGATATCATCACCTATTGGTTTAAAAGGAATACAAAAATATTCAGGTTCGGTAGCAATATGCGGTTGAAGTATTCAGGTCTAGACTGACACGCGTGGGTGCAATGTGAAGCCTATTTCTGGTGTCCCCTGTCTTGTTATTGCAAATACCGGCCTAACACCAAACTCACTCACATGCTAAGCCACCCACACCCTTAACAATACAACAACCCACTTAATCACTCACTCACTAATTCGCTCACCCACACACTCACTCACACGTTCTCTCACATACTCAATCACTCGCTAGACCAAGAAAGAATTTCAAACGTGCAAGCGTGCGTTTGCGACAATAGGTAAATCAGGCAGGGACGCATGGAGACCCCAGTCTGACTCACTAGTCATGCAAGACCTTTACAAATACTTATCATGACATGATTATGACTACGCACTTACGATCGTCTCACGTCCAGATACAGAAGTTACTTTCTCCCTTACTACCGTTATCTGACAACAGGCATGACTGTACGACAACTCCTGGTGCAAAAACTACGTCCCAGCTTGATAATGTCGCGTAGTTGTGTTGATAGGAATCACTTTTTTAACATTGTATAGGTTGCCAATACCTCGATAGATATAAAACATGTCGCATCTGAATGTGTGTGTTCTAATACCTATCTATAAATGAACATAAAGGCATGCATAATCATATAACGTGGAGGTCGCAGTATTATCATCCTAGCCTTCCATCAGTACATGCAAGAGAACATGCACACTTGCTGAACACGAGGTTATTATTGAACCGTGTTTAACGCTGCTCTTAATAGTATTTCAGTAGATGGGAGGAAGACCCGAATTCAAGCATGTCTAAAAACACTGGAAGAGCCGATGAGAGGATGTACATACATACATACATACATATATATATATATATATATATATATATATATATATATATATATATATATACACATATATATATATATATATATATATATATATATATATATATATATATATATATGGAACAAACAAACAAAGATGATAATCAGGTAGAGTCTGGACAGAGATTCGAACACACGATCTAATTAAGGGACGACCCATATTGTTCATAACGTCGTTATATACGCGCAATAAACTTGAACGACGTTAAACCTCATTTCATCTGAACACACCTCACACACACACACACGATCATAATAGCAAATACCTCTGTTCATGAGCAACCATACATACATGAATATGGGGAAATATAATCAATGGTTGATGTATTTTGCTTCATAATCTTACGTTATGTCATGGATAAGTACAATAATCAGTTAAACAAACGAGAATTCCGTAGACAAATGTAATTTTACCTTGGAGTCTGACATGACCGCGCCTTGTTTATACAGCGTACAGACACAGTATACTCATGTATATCGTACTGATATACTGAAAGGGTCAGATCTTATCAGCCGAATTTAAATAAGTCAAGGTAAGCCGTGGTTGCTGTGCGTGTTCCTCATTGCACGTGTTATCTACACTGTACTTTACGACATTACTACACGTCACGTAGGTGTTGCCAATGGTAGTCTGTCAACAGTGTTTCTCATATCTTCAAGTAAACATTTCAAGCATGTTTTGCTTGTTTGCTGTTCGACGCTGCGCCACAGTATTCCGGCTGTATGACGGCGGTCTATAAATAATCGCGTCTGGACCAGACAATCCAGTGGTTGAAATCAGGAGCATCGAATTACGTAAATCGGATAAGACGACATGCATCAAGCAAGTCAGCGAGCCTGACCGTACTTTCAAGGCTTTTCAAAAGAAAATATTATATTTGTAATCATGCGCCAGTTTGTAAACAACACACTGGTCTCGGAGCTTTTGCTACAGTTGTTCCCTTTGTTGACATGCAAATATGACTTTCAACCTGACTTTACTTTTGAAACAGAAGGGAGGCCAGGTGAGAAAACTTTCCTTTACGAGATATTGATTCTGATTGTAAAATATGTTCAAGTATGCACTCGTTTTAGTGTTTAAGCTCTTACAGTCTATTATTACAAATTCAGGTTTGTACAGTGTAAATTGGTAGTACGGTGTGTAAGTACGTACAGGTATACATATGTTAATAAACACGCCACTTCTGTCATGAATTTGGAAACAATTCGATTCTGACTGGTCAGTCAGAAGTTTTAAATCACAATAAACACCTCTCACTGAAACAGCTTGAGTGAGGACCACATTAAGGCGTAAGCTAAACAAATAGAAAAGTACTTCTTGATTTATCCATTGCTCAATGTCAAGACCATGCCCCAGCCCGGCCCGGGCTCGGTTGAAAGAAGAATTGCAGTTAGATCCGTTGTCTGTCATAAATATCCTAAAGCCAAGAGATGCAATAGCTAACTGTATTTCTGAGAGATGGACAGCTACTCGAACGTATATAAACAAAGCAGCCAAAGAAATTGTATCGATTTCAAAAAATCCAAAATAAAATCTTATCATTACGAAAAAAGAAAACTTATCAACACAAAAACAGAAAGTGTCAATGCTAACACTCACAATAGATATGTGTACACTACCCACACACATGAGTCCCAAGGAAGGACAGGTGAACCGAATTTGTTTTGGCAGAATGCGATCTCTTAAACACCTAAAGCAACAACAACATTTTCTGTCATTGTCAGTAGGCATTTTGATAATATGCATAATTGCTGTGCTACAATGATGAGGGATATCATAAAACAAGAATAAAGTTATAATGAAAACGTGGTAATAGGTTCACAGATGTATTTATAACAGCTAATTGTACTAATATATGACAATAAAAGAGCAGATAAACCCAATCTGCGCTGACAAAGGTCACTGATTAATTAAATCAGAGCAAATATACAAGCGGCTGAGCTAAGCAACTGAGTTATAGCTATACTAACCGACCAGATGCGTAGACAACCAATGAAGTCAGATGTGACCAATTAACACCTGAGTCAATTAACTCAACACTCTTAATAAGCGAATGACCTCGGCTGGGTTAAATAGCAGGAAATAAACACAGATGGCTTATCCCTAAAATAAGTCATTTGGACTATAAAAATAGACGAGAACGTCTGAATATCAAACTCACCTCATCAACTAAAGATTCAGTCACTTTGGAAACAAGAAAATACTGAAATTTTATAAATAGCTAAACATTCACGGGAAGGTTGGTTATCCACGGATTACTAGAAAAACGGAGTATTACAAACTCTAGCTAGTAAGTTCAGCTCAATACAACTAGACTAAGTCAGAACCTAGATCGAACAGTGTCCCGAAACAACTTACTAACGAAACCCGAGTTTCGAATACATATACATCGCGCGGCCCTCAGGGAGGTCAGCCTCTCCTGGACAGGAGATGCAATATGTTGATCGTCTAAATAAAACGTTGCACCGCGAGCGAGAGCTCATGGGCGAATACGTATTGGTGACAACATGCATTCATCGCCTCTTCGGGTATATCCATATCTACTTTAAACAAAGTTCGCGATATTTTTTGCGAATTTAATATATTAAAAGCACATTGTTATACATGTGCCACTCTTTATTTTTGCTTGTACGTACTCATTAAACACTGTCATGTCAGGATGAATTAAGAAAGTATGGTTTTGCATCTATTTATTTAAGCCGTTCCCGCCTCCGATGCAAAACTGGAAAATATGTCTTTCTGCCTCTGGAGATTTTGAAACTATTTATTTAGGTTTGTTTGAAGTAAAAGCGATAAACCCTTTCCATAATCATAGAAATATCTGCTAAAATAAGAGTTTATTGTACGCTTCCGGCTAAAAGCATGTGTTTATGAATCACTATAAAATAGTGATGATATCAGATGCCTCGGGAATTGCATCGGACATCATTTTTATCACAAATGCGTAAAATCTGGAAAAAATCATAAAAGTACCTATGACTTCCACATTACTTTTTGAAATCTTTACTGATGCCTTGGCTGCTGTAACACATTTTGAGCAAAAGTCCTATGACGCGCTTTGAATTCTAGGTAGAAAGAGTATACCCGATTGTACCTCAAAAGTTTTAAATGTGAACACAAAGGAAGAAACTACTGGAATATTGCAAACCCTATAAGGGTCATCTGAAAACAACCTTATCTGCCCTTGATTTGGATGCGATTAACGGCAGGTATTTAGGAGAATATAACTTCCGGAGGTACACGCCCCTGTCGCTCATAACATAGCCAAATGTCTGTGCCGCTGGTTAATGTGAGTCGAGGTGTTTTCTGTCGTCGCAAGTTAGGTTTCCACCACTCAGGTTAGCAGACTGCAGCAACTGCTGGTCATCAACTGGAGTGCTTACCAAGTGGGTTGCACTACATGATACCATGATACAGTAACCGTGAATTGATGGCTTGGGGCGTGAGAAGAGCAACTGCAGGTGTTTGCTACATGTCCAACACTGAGCAACAGGTGTACACGTGGTTATGCAAATCGACAGACAGAGGGCACCAACGCCCGCCTCGGACCACTTTGTGGCTGCTGGAACTCCGCGGCATGGCAGATGCCATAAATGTTCAGTCATCCGAAAGGATTCTTCGTTTAATTATGAAACAATTTCACCAATCGGTATTTGATTTGGATACACTATCCTGACTGACAGGAACGGTAGAACAATGCTATACCAAGGATACTTTAGATCACGTGTGTGTGTGTGTGTGTGTGTGTGTGTGTGTGTGTGTTTGTGTTCTTGTCCGGACTAATACCGATTTTATAGTGCTAGCTCAATGAGACATCATGCCGCACTTCTATTAACGGTTTGAATGGCGCAGACATACATGTAGGTGATCATTCTAGCATTGTTATCGATCACCAAACTGTCTAGGGCTTTCTATGTCAAATGAAACATGTTTTGGAACGTTGCCAATACCTTCTGTCGTATGATATCCCGCCGTCGCACAATCATGTATTATTCAGGGAAATGTATATGTAGTAGTGCCTTGTAGATTTGCCGAATTGTATACGTGCATATTTGAATCATATATTTTAACTTTCATTTGAAGAAAGCTATTGTTTCATCCTGTATATAATGGTCTCTTGTGTATATTTGTATATGTTTTAACCTGTTTACAATATATCTGTACCTGAGGCTAGACTAAACTATCTCTCTCTGTTTGCCTGCCAAAATTACATCTTAAAACAACAAAATGGTAAAGTACACAGCTAATCTCTTGCCACTCCTGTAAAATAATTTTTTGACGGTAAAACGTTGGCTACAATTGTCTGTTTGTAATCACCTGTCAGCGCCAATTATCTGTTGGCTTCCCTTGTTAAGTTTCCACCTTTTGTTATCTTATTACTTTTGTTGTTCTTACATGTACATATATATGCTCTCTCCTTCGTAGCATTCATTCACCTGATGAAGGAGTAAGTATATACTTGATCCGAAACGTTGTATTTCTCATAATAAATAAGTTGACATCCATAAATTCTCTCCCCTCTTAACACGTTCATCATCAAGTTCAGTGAGCACAAACTTGATAAATTAATTAAAGTTTTATTTAAGTTTAGGTTCAACAACCATGTTGACGTGAAAACATAGTACATTCTTCATAATGCATTTCCCCACATTACCTTTTTTCCACATTGAATATATACATAATATATATAACAGTTTCTTTTACAATTTGACAAAAATACCATTAATATAAAAATACATTATCACTTGACGAATTCACTAAAATGTCAACAAATGGAACTTGACACAGATAAACACGGATTCTAACCAAGTCTGGTCGTCTTTGACATAGAATGTATGAACTGGTTGAGCGACTTCCTCCAGAGAAGGAAAGGATTACTCTCCGAACGACATCCTATCGACATGGTATTCACACAAGTATTCACAACCAATTTTACATCATAATAATTTGTTACCTTTGGTATCCCCAAGCACCAATTCTCAGTATGGTCACTGAGCAATTGTATAATCAGATACTCTTATGAGATCCTATCAGAACGGTAACTGCGTCCCGTGTACATGGTGATACATGAGGTCTTTGTTAAAATCACAAATTTACAGTCAGAAAACAAGACAGTCTATAGTCATTTCCAAGACCATGTTATTGTTAGTGGTAAAAGCGTCTTCTGTAAAGATATTCTGAGTCCCCCATCAAACATCTTTTTATTTATTCATACAAAAACAAATTTAAACAAAAGTAGGGTTTGGGGAAACTACAAAGTCTTACCAATTTCGCCCTGTGACGTTCATTTGTCCCTCAACATGATAACACTATTTGATTTGGCTTATTAAGTTATCATGTTGACAGGTAAGTATTGAACTGCACCCTAATGTTCAATACCGTTAGACATGGTGGGTAGCAAAACATAGTATAGACAAATGCATCTGTTATTTTTTCTAACATAAATTATGTTTTTGTTTATTTCTTTGGGAATGCCATCATAGTGAATTTGAAAAGGTTTACGACTGACCAGATTTCCCTATTGAATTTACCTTTTTGTGTATTTGATCAGATTGGTTCGAGATTGCAGACGAACGGAAAATAAACCAACTTATCCCTTACATTCTTACTATATCAATTGCAAGATAGTTGCAATAAAACAGAAATTCAGATTCACAAACAGTCCGTCGGTTGCGTGTTTAACTCCAAGCATGGTTGTAGCAACCCACACAGTGGGGATCTTTCACTGGTGGCAGCGATAGTATAGTGAGCTCCGCGAACGAGGTAATCGCTGTGAAGAGCTGTCCGGGGAGACAACTCTGTCTAATTTTCTGTCGGGTTTTCTGATTGAGCCCGAGTTGAAGTCATCATGGGAATGGTTGGCGAATATTTTATGCCCGTTTCGGTTGCTTTTGTCAATTTTGATACCTAAACATTGTATGTACATATTCATAAATAAGTAATTGATACCGATATTTTAAACTGTTTTTCGGCCAATACGTCAACAGTTCGTGTAACCTACTCGGCGCCCAAAGACAAAACTGTGATGTATTTGTCCATATACCTTGGGAAGAACAGCAATAGGTATTACTAATACAATTATCAATATTGATTCGATAGATTGTATATCTGTTTAAAGTAACACTAAACCGAATGCGTTAGTATGTGGTTAGTTTCAAAAAGAAATAGATTCAGCATGCGTTTCGAGACCACACGGATCTCTCGAGTCCACAATGACAAAACAACACCAACTGTGATGGTAGCCAAAATCATTCAACAAATCATGGCCTGAAGCAGATAAAGGTGAGCCCTAGAGAAAAGGAAACGGTCCTTGCAACATTATGTCTGAAGTCACGTAACTATCATGTCGCTATCGTGTTCCCCAGACATGAAGTCGATGCAACCACCATTACCCGCAGTACTGGATTGTACCACCACATGGCACTTTCAGTCGGATTTCTGTTTAAACAAATATTTTGTCACCCTTGATAACATATATCATCTAGACTCGAAACGTAATGTAAAATCATCTAGATTCGATATCGATATGGGATATTTAGCAATGTTTATTGAGTTAAAGTTATAATTCTTGATAGAAATATTTCAAAGAAAGAACCCATTAGCTTTGACGCGATAAGCAACAAAATTATGGTTTGTCACAGATCTGAAACCGCCGATAGGTCAGTCGGAATGTAGGAGTGTCATATGTCATGGTAGAAGAACATTTGAGTCCAATACATTGATTTCCCCCTCAAATACCCTTAATTGCAAGATCACGGTTCAGTCCGAGGAAATAACATCAAAATATTCAAACTCGGGTTTGGGGCCCTGTTTGAAAAATACTCTCGCTGGATGATCGTTTTCAGACATAAAGGTGAAATCCTTCCGGTAAAATTGCCTGACTTCGTTCACGTCATTGAATGTCAGTTGGTGAAATGCTAAGGTAAATGCATCTATTTTATTTGAGGATGTGATGTTTCTTGATTCGCCATAGGCTGTCAACACCGTATTCAGCATGACCGGATACTCAATCGTCTTGCTCTTTTTTGCACTATATGGATAATTGTTTCCTATCGAAATAAAGCCCCATATTTGCAACTGTCGCCATAGTCTTATGAAAATAGAATGGTCACTTAAACAGTCAATCTCATCCTTCCTTGTAAATGCACTCCTAACGAAGCTTTCAATTTCATCTTTATCGTAGCGAGCCTGAATGTCACTCATATGTGGTATTGGCGTGTCAGGTCTACTAAGGCGATACACATGGGCCATATCTTGTAGAAATGATTCTTCTTTCCCAAAAATGTCATAGTTGACGGAACACAGATCACACTTTTGAGTTACTCCTGCCCATTTCTTTTTGTAAGGTGTTGATTTGACGAAGCGAGAAAACTCTTGAAAAGTAATGTTATGTCCACATTGTTTGTTTTTCAATGAAGGCTCCTTTTTAAACTTTGTAATGATATCTTTACCAACATCGAGGTAGTGTTTACTAGGACTGAGAAAGTTATTCACGTAAAATCTGAATAGCTGCCAGTAAGGATTTTGTGTGAAAATAACCTTTAAGGATGTCTTCAGGGCTGTCTGAAGTTCATCTTCAGTATGCCAGAGTGCTTTTCCATGAACCCTCTTTATATCCTTGGATTCGGTATTTGAATGTGAGCGAAGGTTACTTTCATCCGCTAACCATATATTAAGGTTGTGGGTCCATGATGGTTCGTCGTTCTCATTTAAGGGACAGTAGATGATATTCAGAGAAGGGATGTGCCAGAGTTGGGATGCTAGAACGGCCACTGGTTTCCTCATAGATGTTTCCTCGATGTTGTCGCATACATACCTGATGTGGTCGCGACGTTTTGTGTACAGCAGGTCAACGTCATTCTGGAGATAAATAGTGTTCAGATTTACATGCACATTAAACCGATACGATATTATAGTTATAGGCGTGTTTCTATAGTACTGTTTCTGACACAGCTGCTTGTTCTTGCAACAGTGACGTCTTGTTGTAACAGAGATGGGTATGTTTGAAGTAGTTCATGCTTTGGTGTTAATTGTTCTTCATGATGTCAGTGAAGACCAGTATAAGTCAAGGAGTTGCAATTTAAGATTTTTAGAACGACATATGTCTGGTATTTGATTGGTTGTAGATTGTGTTGTGTTTCTGAGAGCTCTTTATCTTAATCATAAATGCAACTTAAATTATCTTGTATATTAATGTTTCAATTACTGCTCACAATTTTTGATAACATTGATAAAGCTCAAGTATGGACATGTATACGTTAATTCTGAAATCAAGGAACAATAAGTAACTTTAACACTTGGACATACACATAATGGTTCCCACATTACACCCACCATTGCAATAAGCGCTGTCTCTGGCTGTCCTGTTTCTTTCGCCCATGCCTTTCCCTTAAAGGGTTGAAGGGTCGCTGAAACAGATTAACTTCTGTCAAATTAAGCTGATACCACGTTCACAGCTGCAGAAAACCCAGTTCACCCACGCACTCATATGCATATCAATGAAAAGAATGTATAATAGAGACATGTTACATTTACACACATTATATTATCTCTTGGCAGTGAAAGGAGGTAGCTGTTTAAAGCATAATACAACAGTACACGTTCCATTTTAATTCTGGAAACCCAATAGTCCAGAAACTCTACGGTCTTTGCCGACTCTCGGTCAAAGGTATTTACAAAAATAAACATGCTGTTTTCATGGGAACATACCAAGGGAAAAAAATGAAAAACAATTGTTCAAAAACTCAATATTTACACTATGTCGCCCATGGGCCTGCCCATGGGCGAAGACTGGCCCATGGGTAGGCCCATGTGCAGGCCCATGGGCGAGAATATGTAACTCAAAGCTCATGTATTTATTCAAGTATCATGACACAAAATGTAACTCATTTTAACTTAATTCATTAAAATATATATTGAAATATTTCGCCCATGGGAGAGAAAAAGGCTTGGCCCATGGGCGAGAATATTTTCCTTTACTCAAAACTCATGTTTTTGTTTCGCAAATACATATATGTATATCTTTCAAGTATCATGACACAAAACTTAACTCATTTTAACTTAATTCAACGATTTTATAGCAATATTGAAATATTTCGCCCATTGGCGAGAAAAAGATTTGGCCCATGGGCGAGAATATTTTCCTTTACTCAAAACTTATGTTTTTGTTTCGCAAATACATGCAGGTGTTCTTACAATTTTCATGGCACATAATGTAACTCAATTTTACTTAATTCAACGATTTTATAGCGATATTGAAATATTTCGCCAATGGGCGAGAAAAAGGTTTTGCCCATGGGCGAGAATATTTTCCTTTACTCAAAACTCATGTTTTTTGTTTCGCAAATACATATATGTATATCTTTCAAGTATCATGACACAAAACTTAACTCATTTTAACTTAATTCAACTATTTTATAGCGTTATTGAAATATTTCGCCCATGGGCGAGAAAAGGTTTGGCCCATGGGCGAGAATATTTTCCTTTACTCAAAACTCATGTTTTTTGTTTCGCAAATACATATATGTATACCTTTCAAGTATCATGACACAAAACCTAACTAATTTTAACTTAATTCAACGATTTTATAGCGATATTGAATTATTCGCCCATAGGAGAGAAAAAGGTTTTGATGCATTTTAAGACAAATGTCGTTTTGCGCTGAAAGCATACAAGATTTGTATGAAGTTGGACTTCCTGAAATATGTCATTATGTTTTGATAAAAAAAAATAATACTCCTATTGCTCATAGTCATGCCCTATATGTATTCAGATGATGGTTAAGGGGCGGTCGGGTAGCCTAGTGTTTAAAGCGTTCGCTCGTCACGCCGAAGACCCGGGTTCGATTCCCGACATGGGTACAATGTGTGAAGCCTATTTCAGGTGTCCCCCGCCGTGATATTGCTGGAATATTGCTAAAAGCGGCGTAAAACCATACTCACTCACTCAGATGATGGTTAAGTTACATTTTGATGTAATTTGGTTACCACTTATCCAAGAAGAATGCCATCTAGTACCATATATGAACTCGGTTTCAACCTGAATATATTACAAAAGATAACCCTTTGAGTTAAACACAGAATGAGAAGGGACCTTTATTCTGCAAAAGAAAAGACAACTTGATGTTTTGTTCTAAAGTTGAATTTTGAGACAATGACTGCACGCTTTCAATGGCCTCCTCATAAGAACAAGAACAGGGATGTCAGCCAGAAGCATTATGTGATCATAGAATCTTTTTTTCTATTGGAAAACAGTTGCTAATATTTAACTCTACTTTACATATAGGAAAGTTTAAATGATCAAATACCCATTTTCCAAGTCACATTACCGGTACTAATCATTCTTAAAAAGGAATCCAAAACAGTGGTGTCTGCTTTTCAAGAGAGATAACTCTCATCTATCGTTTTTCAAAAGGGAGCAGTTAATGTTTTTGAAGTCGCTGCTGAAGGACATTTCCATCGCTCTGGCTATACACTAAGCTTTGAAAGACGCCACAAGCCAAATCTAGTGCTGCTGCAGCTTCCACAGACTCTGTTTCGTGCGACCTTGACCAAACAAATACTCAAATTGAAGAGTATCCATATGATACCTGATGAGAAAAGCAAACCTTCGGATTATCCTGACAAACATTGACTGAGCTAGTCAAAGAAAACCAGAAGTTGAAGGAACAGCTCCTAGCTGCAAAGCAAGACACTTCTCATTTTGATAAAATGATGATGAATGTATTTGTTATGCTTAGAAATGAAATCAAGGGATAAGATGTTACAATGTCTTGGCCAACAGTATCAACAGAAATGAAAAATGCATCTGCCTACAAGTTCCCAAAGCCTTGCGAGAAGGAATATCCTGTGGGTATACTGACATGGTGTTTGATGTTTATCAAGAAGAATCAATCAAAAATGCAGATAGAGCCAACAGAGGATCCCTCGGTGGAGCCAGTCAACAATGTTAAAGCCCTCAGATGTAGCCAAGAAGAGGCAGACACCAGACACCTCCTTCATGCGAAGCGCTGTACTGATTCTGGCTTTACTGCAGTTGTGATTGTGTCTGATACGATACGTATGTCCTTATTATTGACTTGGCATTTTTACCATCACAGCTACCATCCTCAATGTACATGAAGGGTGGAACCAGGACATAAAATGAATATGTTGACGTCCAGAAAGTTGCTGACACGCAAGGCCTTGACAAATCTGCAGGCCTTCTGGGACTGCATGTGTTTACAAGGGGATTGCCTAAAAGTCGGGCCAAGAAAAGTCGGGCCGGGCCGAGCTAGCGGGTAATACTAAAAATGGATTGCAGAATATTAAAACGAAACGTGCATATCTAGGCAGATCGCAAATGTCCACAAACGTATAGTTTTGCTCATTTAATTGAGCTTGAATCAAAATGCATCTTCAACAATGTAATCAACTGATAATTATGGCTACATACCGTGAGTCCTCGTAGAAAAGTCAGTGTCTTGACTGTGTGTTTTCTTTGATGAGAAAGTTTCTCACCGACCTTAGCGTGTAGGGGTGTGATGTCCTGGGCAGGAAACGACAGTGTTTTGACTACTCTTCTTTCATTAATTAACGTGTTGGGCATCCCTAATTAACCTTTACTAATTCATGTTATACCAACACAGGATGTTTTCTGGAAGTGGATATTCGCGAATGTCATAGGGCTAACACGACACGTGTTAAGAACTGTCCTTGCGCTTCTAAAGTTCCTAACATTCTTTATATCTAAAGACTAGTATTATATCTAATCATATACCACTTTATTGTCTCATATTGCGGTAGCTAAAGTAAAGTTAAAGTTAAAGTGCTCAAAGTGAAGCCCTTTTCCCTCTACATTCTCAACATAGTCTCTATCAGAAGTGTTTTGTCTGTGTTGGGTCAGACTTGGCCGGGGCTGTCAAAATCAACTTTAAACACACAAATGTATCATCAAATGTGTTTACATCTATAGACTAGTATTATATCTACCTATATACAACTTTATAATGTCACAAAACACCGCATTTAAAGAAAACGGATCCGTTAAAGTCAAGCACTTTTACTGTATTTTCTCAAGAAAATCTGTCACATGTGTTTGCCCCGACTAGGCCCGGGCTGTCAAAATCAACTTAAACCTTATATATGTATCATGCCATGGATTCAGATCTATAGATTCGTATTATATCTAACTATATACCACTTCATAGTGTCTCAGATATTTACAGAAAACTAGGTGCTCAAAGTGATGCCCTTTTCCCTCTACATTCTCAACATAGTCTCTATCAGAAGTGTTTGGCTTGTGTTGGGTCCGACTTGGCCCGGGCTGTCAAAATCAACTTAAACATCCTAGATGTAACATCAAATGTGTTACATCTATAGACAAGTATTATGTCTACCTAAATACCACTTTATAGTGTCTCAGATCGCGGTATTTAAAGAAAACAAGGAGCTCAAAGTGAAGCTCCTGTGTGTAATCGGTTTAATTGTACGGTATACATTGTAGACAGACAGACAATAATTTATTAATGTCTCACTTCTGTACATACATAAAACAGCTTTGTACGAATAAACATTGATAGAATGTACAGAACCATTCAATAGAATTATGAGAGGTTATTAACAGAATATCCCACTGCCAAGTATATGATAAATTGTTGAATTAACATTAGATAAGGTTGAGAATTAAGTGTGTGTTCTTAAAAAAATTCTTAGACTGGTGAGTCGTCTGCTCGATGATAACCAGCCAACTCATATTTTTACCCTGTTCCCCATTGTTGGAAAGTGTGTCGTCTGCTACCCCAGCTGGAGCCATCTGGTAACAATTAATCACAAGCTGTCAATACACAATACATTATAATACATCAAGATGGCAGTTTCCATGTAACGATTAAGTATTTCTAAGCAACTTAAAGATATGTGCAATATCTAGATATATATATCTTTAATTTGCTTAGAAATACTTAATCTTTACATGAAAACTGTCATCTTGATGTATTATAATGTATTGTATATTGACAGCTTGTGATTAATTGTTACCAGATGGCTCCAGCTGGGGTAGCAGACGACACAAATAAATGACTTTGCAGATAAAATCAGTGGCCTGAAATGTGGTATTAATATTGATAACTTGAACATTTCACTATTTCTGTATGCTGATGAAATTGTGCTCATAGCTCCGGATGAATATAACATGCAGAAGCTTCTTAATGGTCTCGCTGACTGGTCTAAACATTGAAAACTTGGAGTAAACAAAGATAAAACAAAGATTATGCATTGCATACCTGTATCTATCCCTATGAGAACTTACCAGTTTACTTGTGGTGAAATCAATATTGATTACTGTATGAAATACAGGTATCTTGGCATGTGGCTGAATGAGCATTGTAATTACAAAAAAACTGTGACTGAAATTTGTAAATCAGCAAATG